TCAGTTAAATAATTTTGCTCGCTTCCGTTTCCAAGAAGGATTTTCCTTATTGGTTTTTTTGTGCTTGTAGGAATCTGAGCTACTCATACTAGTACTTGCCTAGTATGTCCTCAAAATCATTGGCTTAGTCTTTGAACTCTACGAGCCAGTGCTTAATGGAGTTTTCCTTAGTATCTCTTTCTTCTAGATCTTGAAGCCATAGCTTGGATTGGATGGAAGATATGAATGCTCCCTCCATGGACTCTCCATTTCAAGAACGTGGGACAAAAAGAGAAGCAGCTGTGAAGATGTAGATAATAGTAGCATCCAAAACATGCCTTTTAACACTTAATTGAGAAGAAACTAAGAAGAAGTTAATTTTGATTATTCTAACAATCCCATATTTCATATTCAAGAACAAAGTGCCAAATTAGGAAATAGGGATGCAATCTTAAAGAAGGATATTCATAGAACTTTCCATTAAGGATGTTAACGTTCCACTACATTTAATCTCAACATTTTTTTTTTAATTTCTTATTTATTTTCTTATAAATGATGGAGAAAATACCAATTAAAAAAGAAGGGCTAAGTGATATAGATAGGTTTAGCATAGGCCAATTACATGATCTATGTTAAGGATAAATAACATTTAATTTTCTTAAATTATCAGTTAATTTTAATTCTTTTATTTTGATTTTTTTTTTGCATGAATGGATGTTAGTTATGATTTAAGGATATCAAAAAATGATAAAAGTTTCAAGTTAGTGAATTGTAGTCCAAGCGGATAGTCAAATGTTGCCATATCATATTGTCACCTCATCAAAGTCAAAGCCATTGCTTGCTTTGCCGGCCATTCCAGAGCCTCATGTACAGTACAAAATGTTGTTTCATCTTCCATTGGAGCATCATTCATTAGATTAGCAGCCCCATGTTTCCAAGGTGAAGTTCTGAAGCCTAAAGCTAGTTCCCCTGCAGGACAACTAAGCAGTCTAGCCACCCTTTCCTCTTCTAGTGATGCTATGTATTCTTCAATGCTTGTAATGTCTACATAAATTAAGAATGTTGTAATGAAAGAATATTTTGAAGAATAGAAATCAGTTGGAAGAAATTATCTTCATCCTTGGTGTTTGTTTGATGATAGCAGATTGGTTCCTCTTCTTGTGATTTTGTATTCTTTAATGCTTATAATGTCTATATCTATCAAGAGTGATGTAATGAAAGAATGTTTTGAAGAACTGAAATCAGTTTGAATAAAATTCTTTGGCAGTTTTTAAGATGACAATACATCGACTCCTAGTTTAGTGGCTTGGATTCTTGGAACACCCATTTTGGTGAGAGATTATTATTTTTGTTATTTGCATTTAATTTTGATTTCTTGATATTATGCTCACTACATTCCTATCTATTGATCTGGAGTTGCTCTCTTAGATGCCACATTCCTACAATAAGTAATCACAAAAAATTAATGCTTCACAAAATCCATCCAAACTTGACTACTTAGCCTTCCTTTTAACACTATGCGCCAAAACCTTTACACAATCACCTCAAACTATTAGTTATGTATGGAATATGATTGTGTCAATCAATTGAGTTGTAATGTTAACTCAGACCTTAATTTCGTCAGTCGAGCCAGGGGGGGTTAAAGGGGGCCTACTCCTGCTTTGGGTTCAGGGCATTGCCCGAAAAAAAATTTTCCCACACAATCGTATAGCATAGTATACTCTAGTTTTGCAGCACTATATGCTTCTACTGATCGGGGATAAAGAGCGAAGCGCCACGGTGCTCCAAACTCTTGCACTACAATGCTGCCAGTCAGGTTAGAGACAGAGAGTATAGCGCAGCAACATTGCGAGCTAGGTTGGGCAGTTTTCTTTCTCAATTTTCATGTCTGACTTGGAGGGTTACATCTTTGGGGTGGTTTATGAGAGTTTCTTTGTCAATTCTGTGAAGAACCTGTATGTGAAGAGTAAAGAGAGATGATGAGAGAGTAAGAGAGAAAGAGATCTGTATAATTTCTCCCAATTTTCATAGTGGATTTTTTAGTGTGAAGTGCTCCATTGCTTTTTCCTAATTTCAGGATTTTTCACATTAAATCCTAATATTCTTTCTTTTCCTCTGCATTTTCTTTCTTTTTTTATTTTGTTTTGTGGTGTTTATTCCCATCAAAAACAACTCATAAACTCTCTTCCTAATATCCTAAGCATTCTAAGGAATATTCACATATTATATCTCCCAACCTAACCCCATCTTAAATCCCATGTAAAATCAACGAGTCAAAATAACCCAAATCCAAGAACTGAGAGAGCATTCAACCGCTCTAGAAAGAGGTCCTTCCAAAGACCACCAATTTCCAATAGACCCTCATATATACCCCCACATCAAATAAATTTACTCAACTTCACCTTCCACCTTTAATCCCAATATATACCCATGCATCACTAAAGTTGTGATCAACTTGTTGGACCACAAGGTTGTTGGTGCATAGAGCTTGAGCATAACATAAAATGATCAGTGTAGTGAGCTCACATGCACCACAAGGAAGTGCATGTGTGAGGAGCAAGCTCACACATGCTCATAGTATACGAGCTTACACAAAGGATATTGCTATGCATGGGCTCCCCCTAATAAGTAACAGTTCATCACTAGATCTATTAATACAAAAATTACACTTCATATATTTAATTTTAGATATACTCAAACAAAAACATTTAAACTCTAAGGTTGACCTCCATAATTCAAATTTTTCATCAACTCCCTCTCCAGTTTTATCAATAAAAAGAATGTCATCAGCAAAAAGCACACACCAAGGTACATCCTCTTAAAAATGTCAAGTAAATACATCAACAGTTAAAGCAAAAAGATAAGGGCTTAAAGTTTTCCTTGATGTAAACCAGCTAAAATAGAAAAATATTTGGTCAAATCACCTTGTGTTTGAACACAAGTAATTGTTCCTCTATTCATATCCTCAATGACTTGAATATAAGCATTATTAACACCTTTCTTTTCTAGAACTTTCTAGAGTATTTCTCTGGATAAATTATCACATGTTTTCTCTAAATTAATAAATATCATGAAGATTTTTCTTACTCTCTCTATAATTCTCAATGTAATCTCTGAACAAATATACAGCGTCCATAGTAAACCTACTCAACATGAATCCAAATTGATTTGGAGAAACCTATGCTCAATTACTCCCTCGATAATTTTAAAGTATGTCACATTAACTTAATTACTCTATAATTTGTACACTCTTGTGCATCACCTTTATTCTTAAAAAAAAGAGCCAAAACACTCCTATACTCATCCAACAACTTTTTAGTCTTCAAAATAATATTAAAAAGTTTAGTATATCAAAAAATTCCTTGATCTTCTAAACATTTTCACACGTCTATTAGAATATCATCATGTTCGACTACTTTTCCACATAACATTTTTTTCAAGACTCTCAAACTTTAGTTTTACTAAGACAATAATAAAAATAAAAATCTTTTTTTTCATTTTGGGTGTTAAGATCATTAAAGTCAATCAATTCTAATAACCTTCATTGAAAAGTCTATCGAAATATCCGATTCACCTATGCTAATATCCTCTTCTAAGAAAATCACTTTTTAATCTTCATCATTAATGCACTTCACTTAAACTAAATTCTTACTTTTCTTATATATTTGCTTGCCCTACTTATAAATATATATTTTGCTCTCCTTAGTATTTAATCTACAATATAAATCACTAAAAGCTAAATTCTTTGAATCATATTTTGCTAACTTATACTCCTTATGGGCCCCTTTACATCTTTTACAAATTTCTAAGCTTTTACATCCAAACTAATTTTTATAACAAAATTTCTTATTTTCTATCTTTTCTTGTATATTTTGATACTACCACCAACTATTTTTACAATTAAGAGATTTTTCATTTGTTTTTTCAAGCACATACTTTGCAACATTCTTAATCTCATTAGGATTTCTTTTCACATAACATTAGCTTCCAATAGCAATAACCCAAATCTTAAGATCTTAAATTTTATTCTAAAAAATATTTGTATTTGCCTTCTTTAAATACCTCCATCTAATCTTAAGATAATATTTTATTTTATTTTTTTCATTTTTCACCTCTTCATCTAAAAGTCCAAAACTAATAAGCGACGCTAAGTACATAAACTTTTACTTAGAATGGCTTTCTAATCTTTGCAACCTAAATGATCTATTCTTTTTTTATAAGAAATTAATCAATTTTAGTTTACTATGTCCATTCAAGTAATGAGATGCTTCTCTTTTTTCCTAAATAAAATATTAGCAATTACAAAATTATATGTTATAGCAAAAGCTAATATGTTGAGTACTATAGCAGACTATCCAACCAAATTACTTATTTATGCCACTCTTTTTAGCGTTATAATTTAATTTCAATATAAAAAATGTTTAAATTACATTTATTTTCCTTAAAAAACTTGTACCGAGACATTCTTATCATTTTCAGTATGAAACTTGGAGTTTATTGATTCAGGAAATAAGAAGACATTGTCACTAAAAAAATGCCGCTTTTAGACAAAACACAATTAGCATATCTTTATACAGCGTGCAACATGTTAAATGAGTTTTGATGAAGTAGCAAAAAACTACTGCAAGAGTATACAGTCAGCATAGCAATGAACAAGGATCTTAGCGCACATTTGTATGTGAAATCAGCAATGAGCACAGATACAGGGACAGAGATCCCAGGTTCCCATAGCACCGAAACAAAAATCCATTATAATCTTAAGTCAAAATTTCAAAATTTCCACGGAAAATAAGTTTGAATTTCTAATAGGAACTAACAAAGATTCAAATAAGTCATCACTACACAAAAGAGGTAAGTTGGAAGATAAGAATCCAATAGAAAAGAAATTGTCTAAAAATGGATGCCCTATCAGTCCAAATAACCAACATACCCAAACGTAATTTATGAAGCCAAAAATGCATTACTATAAGCAAGACATTTTCTTGATCCGTCCAAATTTAGTAAAAAGGGAGATTATTTACCCGCACTTATCGCATAACGTGGCAAATCCGCCCGATCTCAGCAGCCAACCCTTCCTCCATACTGCACCCGCCGCCGCCGCCGCCCCACAAACACCGTTCATGCATCGCTTCGTCGACATCCTTTCCACCTCCAATCCACCTGCCGATCAAATCTCCCACCACAACACCGAGAATCACCGAACCCTAGCTACCAGCAGTCATAACACGAAGAAACCCCAGCAACTGCTAGCTCACTTTGAAAGCCACCAAGACAACTTTCCCTTTCCTGGATCCACTTCTCAAACTTCTTCCACACGAGGAAACCCTTCACCTTTCGCTTCACTATCTTCACCCGGAACTTCGGCGGAGCTTCCCCAAATCCAACGCCGGCGCCTGCCTCTCTTCCGGTAGGTGGCGAAGATCACAGTCGCGTATTCATAGAACAAAGAAATACGAAAAACATCTTCATGCAAGCGAAGAAAAGCTGCCTTAACTCCCCAATAGATCAAAGAGGGCCAAAAAACAAAACTTGATATGCATGCACGATCTTCATCATGCTCTGGTCTTCCAATAGCTTCTCACTCCTCTCACTCCACCGGTTATTCTAAATTCCAGCAGGTGGAGAAATAAATAGACTATAAGCAAATAAATTAAGAAAAATTTGCATTTGCCACCCTATCTTTTAAGAATTTTGAACCTCTCATCAAGATAATCGAGTGCGAGCTCTGTGCTTTAATTTATATATTCTTCTTTTTTATGTTATTGGAATCGAACGGCAGATGGTAATTGAAAAAGGAGTCCTAACATATACCTTAATATAAAATAGAAAGGCACTAATCCATCTAATTCCACTAGACTAGTAGAGCCCTCTTGAAAGAGAATTTTAATTTCATATGCCTCTATTCTAAGAGAATTTTGTATAAACATAATTGTTCTTTGTTTTAAGAAAATTTAATTTTATATTTTTATTTTACTTATGATCGGAAAAATATGCTCTTTCGTTGTTTTACTCTATGAAAAATTTTGCACGAACCCTTGCTCTAGGCTGCAGGTACTTTTTAAAATTTATTGTAATCAAAATTGATTCAAAAAAAAAATTGAATAATGTTTGAGATCATATGTGATAATAATTAAATCTATGCACAAACATTATTGGAACCTTAATCGAATAAGAATTGACATTACTTAAAGAGATTTTTTATCATAGTTCGAATAAAATATTTTTGAAAATTTTATAAAATAGTTGAATTGAATGTTCCAATAAGATTTGTATGATGCTCGAACATTTTTTGAACTTGTTAAATAATAAAGTATAATACAACATATTGCAGTTACAACACGATATATTAAAAGATAGATGTCATAGAGAATAGAATTACAATAAAATGTATTACATTAAATAAAAATAATTATAATATTTTACAACAATATATTGAGTTTAATCACAATAGTTATATTACGCCAGATAAAAACTTTGATGAAATTAAGTAAAATCATAACATCTATAAAATAGCACAATTGAATTACTCCTTATAACGCTTCTTTTGGGATAATTTTTTACCATTATTTTTTTGCTTCATTCAAAAAAAAAATTGTACAAGAAGTTGTAGAAAGCATTAAAAAAGCTGTCACAAACAAAGCCAAAGTCGTAGATAAGCTTTATAGTATTGAAGTGCTCAACTTTGAAAATATATATATATCACTATGAAGTGTTCAAATCCGATTATATAAATATCAACATAAAATGCCTAAAACTAACCACTTCACAAAATTTTCTCTTAAAGATTATCAAGATTGAAACAGTTCTAATCAAGCAATAGTATGTGTATTTTCAATTATAATTGTGAGTTCATACCAATAAGCTGGAAATTAAAGAAGTGGTCAAAATTATTTTAAGAAAATATGTAAAATCAAAAGATCAATTTTTGGATTGATGTTTAACAGTACATCCATTGATGAGTACAAAATTCAGTTGACATAAATAATATTCAATAGCTTATACTTAACACAATGATGTCATTGGCCTAAAATTGCTTAATAATTTTCTCCATCACACTTTAGCTCTCTATGTGAACTGAGTCATGTAATGGCGCTCGATAGGTACGATTAGAGCAGACAACTATATGTATAGCAAGACAACTCAAATGAGACAATCTCAAAAAAAGCCAGAGAGTGCAAATAATAATTTTTTTCTTTATTTGAAATTTTCTTCGGATAATAATTGAATCTTGATCAATCCTATCATAAGTTGTCGGACAATATTTCAATATTTATCAAAACTTTACAAACCTTTATCAAATAGTTTTGAATCATGATTCAAGCTTCTTTGACTATTATTCAAACCTTGCTTTGAAACACAAGCAAGCTTTGAAGAAAGTTGATCATGAGCCAAGCTTATTTTGACCAAGATCAGAATAATTTTCATGTAATGCTTGAAGATGCTAATCTGATGTCTAATATTATAATGGAATTAGGAATCACATTGTAAATATATAATATTATCATAGATGAAAACATTGTCAAACACATAATATCAATAAACTTCAAAGAAAATTTTTAGCAAGTTAGATGTGGAGACAAAGAACTTTATTTGAAAATCATTATTTGTGAATGAGAGTCACCATATAAGAAAAATACGCTAAGAACAAGAATGGTTAATCAACTTCTTTCTCAAAAAGATCACTTATATAATTATCGAGCATCTCTTCAAATTATGGGAGTATTTTGATCCAAATGAAATTTTATGTATAATTTCCCCAAGAAATAAAATAATGGGCATGTTTCCTTAATTTTGAGTATTATGGAAGATGAAATAAGCATAGAAGTTTCCTCCATTTCAAAATACCCTACTTTGACATATATCATATTATGTAGGATAAATGACATATCGTCTTTCTCTTTTGACTTGCTTCATTATTGTCATCATCTTGCCTTCATTAGATATTACTTCGCTTGAGAGGATCCCACCAATTAAGTTGGATTCTTCTCATTCATCACTTACTTTAGCAAACAAGGTTTTTTATTTTGACATTACCATTATGTATAACAAATTAGATCATTTTGAACAAGTTCTAGTACTGAGCTAGATAGAGCTTCAAAGAGTGTGCTTTGATACTTATTAAAACATATACATGAACAATATCCATATTTTATTCAAACTATAATCGATTTTGATTCGAGAGTATCAAATAATATATTTTTTTATTGTTACTTGAATAATCATCAAAACTTGCTTGATCATTCGAACAAGGTTCGATCATAGTTCATGCAAATGTTTTAACAATATGATTATATCTTCAAACGTAGTTCAATCATGGGTTAAAGAATACTCAAATATTGTTTGACCTTTGTTCCAACATATTTCAATCAATGTTCAAATATGTGTGAATGATATTTGAATATGATTTGATTCATGATCGAACAATGTTAAAATGCCAATGATGTTAAACATTGATCAAATATTTTCTAAAGGTAAATAAAGTATTAACATTCTTTTATTGTTTGAAGGAAATTGGAAAGAAGACAAGCAAGTTGGATGGAAGTGCACCAAAAAATAGACCAAATAATTAATACTACAAAGAAGTGTTTTTATAGAAGATCTCATGGATCTTATGTACAAAGGTATAGAAGTTGATAAAAAATCAATTTAATTTAAATTTGGAAAAAATTTACCAGTTTGATGGAGCATGATTAATAATTTCAATTCCTCAAATTGAACTATTTACATATTATGTTATTTCATTCTTCTTGAATGACCTTTATCATTTAGTATCGATCACCCGTATTTATGCTTATTGCTACTAAGAAGATTTTAATTGTGGTTCATTGTACCAAAAACAATTTTGTAAATATCAATTAGTTCACCATATTTAGCTTGCGTGGGTGATGATGTAGACATACCACATGTAGAGATAGGTGATAATATAAAGGAAGGATACATAAGAGTTGATGATGCTTTGGACATACATGCTATAGATGATAGTGATTCCATGAATACCTCTATGCTAAAACATCAATTCAAGATTAATTATAACCCCAATTTTATGATCTCCCCTTAAACTAGCAAATGGATAAAATCTTCTAATTCCTTATGTATCTTAGGAATAAAGGTAGCTGTTAATTTAAGTCATGTAGAACACATAGATAACTCACATCTTATAAGGGCTAGTGTTGGAAAGCACCTATAATTCAATGGCTACTAATATAATATCATCATATTTATGTTTGTCTCTTGCTCAATATTAAGTTAGGTAGCTCTTTGAGAACAAAAAGGAGCTAAAACGAAGGTTACATATTCCTATAATAAAAAAGAATTTTCAATTCAAGGTGAAGAAATTGGGTAAATGAATATGGTACATCCATTTCATATCCAAAAAATTCTCATTGCGCTTGTGAGCTAAAAACTCATCACTCACAAATATTTAAGATCAAGAGCCTTGAATTTAAACACTAATATCTTGCATGCTAAATTGAAAGACCATTGATAAGCTCAATTATAACTCATTGGACATATAGTTAAGGAAAAGCTCATCCATACAATCTTAACATAAAGAAAAAGATGATATTAGATGATAAGAGGGACTATGGTATTAATTTATCCTATGAGAAAGCTTGGTGATGTCATGAGAATGCTATTATATATATATATATATATATATATAAACATTCTTTCGAAAAATAGATATATTATTTAGTTATGCTACTTAAAAAAAAATTAAGCATAATTACAAACCTTCAAGACTGCATTGAAGCATATTTCAAGTATGTATATTTTTCTTTTGGAATTTATATTTAAGGCTTCAAAAGTGCATGCCAAGTGTGAATGTAATATTTATGAATACATAATGTGAAGATATCTTACTTGCAATAGTAGCAAATTATACATACGATCAAGTTTATCAGATGTCATTTATAGTAGTGTAATTAGAAAATAAAGAGTCATGAATGTATTCCATCATCAATTTGAGAAACTTAATAGACTAGTGAAAAAATTTCGTATTTTTCTATAATAGTTATAATAGTATCACTAATACTTTATCAATTACTTTTTCAAAGGTACACCGTACCATGGATCTTGCACTCACTATGCCCCAATGAATATCAAGATGAAGTTCAAAATCGATCATTTTCATAAGGAATATCACTTTCGAGGCTTACATAAAATTGAGTTTCATAAGCACTTCAATAAAATATATTTTAAGAACACAGCCATAATATCTTATCTTGAGAACGAAGTTGGCATTAAGCAATAAGCTTATGCTTTCTTTCCTAAAAATTTATATAATTTGATGATAATCATTAATTCAAAAAGTTTCAACTATTTTATCAAAAGTGCATGCTACTATTCATTTATTAGATTAATAAAAATTGTAAGGCACGAGACATAAAAATGGTTCCTCAATAGACACAATATTGTAGAAAATATAAAAATTATTTAAGTGAAGAGAATCAAAGAAATATTGGGTTGAGAAGCTCCTAAATAAAGCCTACCCTATTAGTTAAATTAAACTATATGTCTTTGATAGATTGTGATGATGATTTACAGGTCTTTTCATGTAAATATGTATTGGCTATAGCTTGGGATTAGGGTGTTAGTTACTACAATTTATGTCCAA